TTCACATACCATTGCACCCATGGATATCGTTGTATCTGCATTACTGTGACCATGATTCGTCTGTATCTAAAAATTAATTAACATGCAGTGTTTGAAAATAAATAATAATTAAATAAATAAATTTAATTACCTCGTTAACAAGATTTTCAACGAGCATCACTGTCTCATTTCCAATTATTTCCAAAAGAGATTTCATACGTTCCTCTTTATAAACCGTGCTGCCTAATTTCCAAACGTCATCAACGTATCCAGAAATCGCTTCAAGCGATTCTTCCAAACCGATAAACCCATCTCTGTATTATTTTCAATTAAAATATTTATTATTATTATTAAAACAATTAACAATTTTTCTATGAGAATAAAAAAAAAAGAAAATGTAAGTGTTGAATCAAATCAATTTTTTTTATAGATTATTTATTTATATTTATTTATTGATTTTTTTTTATAATTATTGATTTTATATCTTTTTTATTTTACCCTTGAAAGTATGCAACACTTCAAACATTATCGATAATGTTGCTTGCGAGCTCCATCTATCGGTAAGAAATTTTTTTTAACTGTAACGTGATGCAACCCTTTAGCACGTGCATGTAAAGCGTGTTGCATACCAGCAAAGGTAAAACAAAAAAATTCCCCCCAAATAGATGGCGCTGACTAACTGCATTACCGACAGTGTACAAAGTGTTGCATATCTCGAGGCGCAATAAATAATATTTAAAATTAATATTTGTTTAAATATAATAAATAAAATAATACCTCGAGACGGCAGCACTTTCTAATTCCTTTTTAATATTGTTTAATATTAAAGCAGCCTCATCAAATGTTGTTTTATCTCTCGTACGATTAGTTTCATTGCTACGTTTAATCCAAAAACTTTCTTCTTCTCTAATGGACGTAGGTGGACGTGGTCCAAGTAAATCTTCTTCTAATTTTTTCAAAGAACTTGGATCAAAGCCAAAAGATTTAAGAGTGGGTGCCCAAACTTGTCGTAAAACTTCGATAAGAGTTAAACTTTCACCACCACCGATCGAAGTTACTTGGACCAAATCGTGAAAATTTTCTTCCGTAACTATCTTTGCTGCTAACTAATAATTACGAATATCATATGTATCTTATATATATATATATATATATATATATATATATATATATTTACATTAATTTTAAATTACCTTAAAAAATACCAAAGTATTTTTTCCAACAAGTAATTCATTGCTCAATTTCAACGTAACTTCATTTTCCGATTGAATTGGTTGAGCACAAAGAGTCCTACACGTGGATTGATTAAAAAACTTGTCCAACACTGACAAAGATAATTTAGAATTTTCTTCATTTTCCAAAGGTACACCAAAAAAATAACCTGCTGTTGAAACTATAAAAGATTCACGTTTATCTATCATCACCATATTTTTCTCGGTCCTATTATTTTGTTGAATTAAATATCAAAATCTTTTTTTTGAATATTTATTAGTATTTTATTTGGATTAAATTCGTGACATATTCTTAATCCGAGTCAAAATCCATACTACGTGACATGTATCAAATAAAACATGTGTGTTGTTTGGCATTGCAGTTAGGAGTCGATCGTTCGTGTTGTCATGACAACATAAATGAAAACAATAACGTTACAAGCACCACCTTGCGAACAGGTGAGAAGGATTTTTACACGTGATTATGATTAATTTTATTTTTTAAGAAAAGAATGTAATTAATAAACGAACAATTTAATTTATTACTTTTTTCTTTTGTTTCATATCCAACAGACTGGAAAATTGTTCAGTTACGATTGATTACGATTCAATGCATTTAAATGCATCATTATATTATCGAAAAATTATGAGCATAATCTAAATGTATAGTAATACGTTCGTTGAGTTAAATATTGGAAAACTTTTCAACTTATTTCGTGGTTAATATCTGCATGTTCTATGCATACATATGAGTTTCAATCATGCGTGTTTCCGTAGTCGTAAAATAAACAACTCGATTGAAAAGAAGCAAATCAAATAAAATGAAATTTGTAATTTACTCAAATCATTTTAAATTTACCAAAATTTGTAAATATGTGAATGTGAGTATGTGTGTGTGTTTTAATTATTATTTAAATCAAACATATATGCATACGATAATGTAAAATATGATGAGATAGATATTTGTTATCATACTGATGGAATTCTTGCATTTTTAAATGAAATAAACTTTCAAGTAGGTAGAATAAAGCTGATAATGATAAGGAATTGATAATTTATAATACAACGTTATTGTCATTATTATTTTTTATAAACAATTTCTGGAATTATGATGATAACAGTTAAGGAAAAAAGAAACAAAATGAAGAAAATTTTATTTTAATCGAACTATGATTGTAATTGGATTCATATACGTGATGTCATCAAAAATAAGTATTATAAAAAAAATGTTTATTTATTTATCTACTTGTAATATAAAAAGAAAACTATCTGTTTGAATAGTAAGAAAATGTTGAAAATGTTGAAAATGTTGAAATAAAATCAGAGATAATTATTATCATCGAAAAAGGGGAAATCCAAGATGATTATGATCAATTAGATTTATAATTCTCACAATGTATCTTACAACAAGGAAAAATAAATAAAGATTATATGACACAAAGGTTAACTCCTCCTAATATTATTTCTTCCTCGTATAAAGCTACAAGATGAACTTACAACACTACGTTGAATTTTATTAACCGTGGGTGACACAAACTATTAAACAGAAAAATAAAAAGAAAAAGAAGGAAGCAAAATATAGTTTATTAGGTTATCGTGTTTAATCCAGAATGAACACGTGTCGTTAACCTAATCGTCAGGTATACACAAGTAAATGATTAAGTACTAAAGTTATCTAACTATATAAATCTTGTATCTATATTTATCAGTGTCAACTTTTTTGAGAAGTAATTAGAACAATTATGAAAATTATGGATTTTTCATATTTCAATATTTGTCATTGACGAAATATCATTTTATTATGTAATTTTATATATTAATATATAAATTAATATAATATTTTATATATTAATATTTATAAAAATAAACTAATTATATAAATAAATTATATAAATAAAAATAATATTTTTATAATATTAATATATAAAATTACATAAATTTAATATATTTTATAATATATTACATAAAATAAAATAAAAATTATATATAAATTTATATAAATTTATTTTTTTTTGTATTACCATATAAAATTACCTAAAAAATCATAAATAAATATATATGATTCATGTATATATATAAATTCTTATCAATAATTCTTATCAAAATTATCATGTAATAGAAATGCACTATGATTTGCCCATTTATATGGATAATTTGTACATTTCAATAAAATATAACAATTTTTTTTTATACATCTTGTAACCTAACACATACTCGTATTTTTAATAAAATCATTTCTATTTTTATTTATACTTTTATTAAAAAAAAAAAATGAGAAAAAGCATTGATTAATTATGGTTGGTTTATCGTAAATAATAAAATTCTTCTACTACAATTAACTTAATGACGATTTATGATTAATTTTCGATAACGATCTTTTTGATGTGTGTGTGTGTGTGTGTGTGTGTGTGTGTGTGTGTGTGTGTGTGTTTGTGAGATTAATTGGATAGATAAATAAATATATAATAAATCTACTTGAGAAAATGTATCATGAAAAAAAAATAAAAAAATTAACAAAAGGTAATTTTATCTCGTACGTGCAACACTTCACGATACATCTGAATCTTATCTATCATTAATTAGGTATTCGAACTTGAAAAAGGACAGTTTGATAACTCAAAATTTATTGATTAATTTTTCTATCAATATGCAGTCATTCGAATATCTTTCAACCATCAATCTTCAAACCATTTTGAACCATTTATCATGTGGTCTCGACGTAGATCTTACTAGTACGTTTATTTTATTTTTTTTATTATTTAATTTATTTTAATATTAATCTTTTAATTTCTCTGCTTTACACAATTATTGCAACATTAAATAAAATAATTTCAAATATATTACATTTTTTACTGATGATTTAAAAAATGAAATTTTGTGATTTGTAAAGTACGTGTTAACAAAAAAAGAATAATTATTTCATAAGAATTAAGAATTTAGAAGAAAACCAATGGAAATTATTTGTTAAGCAACAAAAAAGTGAGATGTTTTATATCGATACATGCATAAACAATTATAGTGAGACAATTATTTCTGAATAAAACTAACTATCTTGAAGGTCGTCACGGTTATCTTTGCATAACACATGTGTACACACACATATACTCTATCATATATAAAGTTAATAATAATAATAGAGTATATATGTTGACAAAGATTTAAATAATCGATTTGGGAAAAACCGTTTAAGTAATTCGATCATTTATTTAATATTCAATGATTTGGAATATCATGAACTTTGAGACTTGTAATCTATAAATATTTTTTATCACATAAAATAATAATAATTATAACTAAAAAATTATATGCAAATAAAATTGATCTCACTATTGAAAACAAACTATGAAAAAAAATACTAAACGAATCTTTCTTTTAATTTTCAATTTTGTATATGAAATTAATAAGACGCAAAAAATAACAAAGTTTTGTATAAATCGTAAATAATAAAAATGAAGGAATATACAAGGTGACTAATATATTCGTAAAAAGTAAAGAAGGAATATTTCAAACGATTATATCAAACCAAGGCTTCTTCTCTTTCGTTTATGACGAAACAACGAGGAAAAATCAACGCATCATCAGCATTACTCTAAACATCAGTTTCAAATTGAACATGCTACGAGGTTTAGTATACTTCTCTGCTTTTCTTCACATCAGTCAAGAGACAGCTTTCGTTTCGTGCATTTTATCCTATTTCTATCTATTTAATTAACTACTATATACAAACAATTCTTTATCTATCTTATTTCTTCAAATTAAAAAAGAAAAACCAATTATTTATTCAAAAAAGAAAACAAAATCTTATTAAAACATTTAATTAAAAATTTAATTTTGCAAACATAAACAAGGTGAGTGTCTATCTCTTTAAATTAATTTTTAAAAGACATTCTTTTATATAAATAATTAATTATCTATTTAATATATATATATATTTGTATAATAATTATAAACACGTTCCGTGCCATGTGTACCACCGGTGGTACACAAGTTTATTTAACACACTGACAATATATGTTTATAACAAATTTAATTCTGTAAAAAAATATTTCAATTAAAATATACAAAATGCAGTATAGAACAAAGTACATAAGTTGTTTAATTGTTATATTTATAATAATTAATAATTACATCTAATGATTGATTTTGTTCAAGCAAAATTAAGTGGTCTGAATAACAAGTCAGATAAAAAGAGCTTAGCACGGACCGTGTTAAATAACAAAAAAAAGAGTATTATCTGTAAAATAATTATCATTCATTCTCTTTCTAACTTTTCTTTAATGTGTTAACGAGATGAGACATAAAACTCTGCTTCTTTCTACTTATCCATCACGAACAGACAACTCGAGTGTACTTTTGTTTTTTTTTTCTTTTTCAAGAACAGTGTCTTAAGGACGTCCCTAATTGGATTCCAAGTGTTATACCTATCTTGTGTTCTTCTGATTCTTCTTCTTCTTATTCTACACTTATACCCATTCACTTTGTTTGTGTAAATACCACTTGTTGCTAGAGGACACATTAGAAAAGAGAATAGTTTCTTTTTATTTTTATTTTTTTTTTTTTTATATTTGTCTCTTCGTGAAGATAAATCTTCGTTCTTTATATATTTTTCCTAATTGGCAACTTGTTATATCTCGTTAAAAAAAATACATCAACATTCTCGTTATTTTATTTAAGTACAAATAATTAAATTTAACAGATACAAAATAATATTTTTTAAGATAATATTCAGAACGTGACAAAACTAAAAGAATGTTTGTTAAAAGATTATATCTTACAGTCAAATAAATAATTTCGATTTTAAGAGGAAGCATGCGTATATATATTTATATCTCTTAAAAAATCAATAAGTGTAAGTGATAATCAAAAAAAAAAAAAAAATTAATATAAAAGACGGATTGTATCTTTGAACGTGTTTAGTATCAGGACTACGAGAATATTTTTCTTTACTTCTTATTCACAATTAAATTATCGTCACTATCTATTATCTATAAATCTATATGGAATTTATTCCGTTTTGTCTCTGACACTCACTCATTGCTATCACAAACTTTAATTTATCTATCCATTCTAAAGGCTCTCTCATTCGTATTTTCATAGTTCCAAGTGAAACATCGAAGTGTTAACAAGAAAAAAAAAACAAAGAAAAATAGTTATTCTTCTAAAACTACGAATTTTCATTCAAAAGTAAGTTAGATCTAAAAAGATAAAAATATAATAATAATAATTCATCTAGACATTTAATGAAACAAAAGTTCGATTGATAATAAGAATATCAAATATTTTCAAATATATTTTAACAGATTATCATTTAAATTAAATGTGAAATTAATTATATAAATTATAAAAAATTCGTAATGTAAAATATTGTAATTTTCTTTTAATAATATTATGTTTTGTATTATTATTTTTTACAGTATTACTATAAAAGGAAAAAATATTGCAAGCACATCAAAGATGACGGTCGAACAACAAACTACTTCAAATCCAATAAAAACTTCCCCAAATCCACTAGCCATAGCGTTTTCTGTTCTAACACATCTTCTTTTATTGACACCCGTAATATACATCGTTGTGCTATCAGTTAATACTTACAATACCTTTTCATGGCATCCAATATTAACAACGGTTGGGGTAAGAAACTTTCTAATCTTCTTTTATCTTCATTCATCGTTCAGCATTTTAAGTAGGCTCGTATTTGCCATAAAATATTCTACGGGTTTTACCTGGTATCTCATTTTTTTTATGTGGGCTCCACAAGACTTTCCAATCCCTTAATCTTCCCAAATAACGATAAACAAAAAGAAAATTATGCACATTAATTTGAATAATAATAAAAATATAAATTAATCCTTATTCGAGTAAGATGAACATCATGATTCTAAATTTACGTGTTGCACGTTTGTGTGTCAATTATAATAATTCAAAATCCAGCTATTTTTGATCCTGCGTGTTGGAATAAATTACAAAAGACAATCACAGGATGATTTGATAAAAGTGATAACACCTTAGTCAATAGCAAGTCATCAACTAAACACAGAAGTCAGAATAAATCTTTAGTGAATTGCAAATTACGTGTTGTGTGATTCTGAAAACAATTAATGATGTGGTAGTAAAAATGCATATATTACAACTACAATAACTATTATAATTTATCTTAAAAATGAACTATACCATTAAGAAGAAAAAATAAAAATCGCGTGATATACAAGTTTTCTTTTGAAGTTACATAAAATACTCGAATAAGGGGATTCTTTTTCTTTTGTAAATAAAAAACAAATACGAACCTAATCTTAGCAATGTTAAAAATACATGACCATGAATAATACATATATATAATAATAATTATTATAAATTCAAACAGATCGGCCTGTTGGTGTTGGAAGCAATTTATTGTGTATCGGGTGAAGCATATGTTTCTAAAAAAATGACACGAAAAAATCGAATATTGATTCACTGGGTTCTACAAACCTTAGGATTTCTTTTAACGTTAGCAGGTGTGCTAGTAATAATTGTAATGAAAGGTAAACATTCACACTTTACATCGGTGCATGGTAAACTCGGGTTAGCAGCAATGATATTATTTGCCATAATAATGATCAGTGGTTTATTTGCGGATAATACGAAATGGTTTTATCCCCGTATAAAACCAGTAACCATTAAGATCTATCACATTGTTGGCGGTATTTTGGTAACTTTAGTTTTATTAGCTGCATTGATCAATGGTACATACACCCATTGGTGGCCTCATACCAAATTAGGAAGAGATTTAACATTTGCATCGTTTGTAATTGGTACTGCATTTACCATGATCAAACCAACATTGGGTGCAGTATCCAAATGTAAATTTATGTTTCGCAAATCTACGCCAAATACGTGAATATTGTTTAATACATTTGGAATTGGTGTTTCATTGGTTAAATTATTGTTTTTAAGTTAAATCTCTTTTTTTATGATCAATTACGCGCGTTATCATCACGGATTATATTTAAACGTATAATGAGCATACGCGTAAGAATACGTGTAAGATAGTTTGCTATACTATCCATCTAACTCACACACACAAATAAAAAAAATATAATCTATGTTTTACGATTTTGTAATGCGTGCGGATCGTTATCATGGGATTAATGACACAAAAATATCGTTGGGTAATTGAACCATATGCCAAATGTGTCAGTAACATGATTTGTTGATCCGGTGATAAGATAGATGAAAATATATGATAGAAATAGTTGGGAAATTTTTACTAATTACAAATATGTACAACGATCAAAGTTATATTATAAAATGCCCTTTGACGAAAGATATTTTTATAAATTTATAGAAATAAAATTTAATTTAATGAGATATAGATCAAACAACATTCACGTTTATTACATGTAAATATAAGTAAATTAAATGTCTGTATTTTTATAATGAACGTCATTAAATTTATGTAAGAAAAAAATAGAAAAGAAAATAAATATGACTATATATTATATATATATTAATAAATAAAAAAATAATGCATGATGATTATAGGTGTTAAGTGCATTATCAATCGTATATATCAACACTTTATTAATTATGCACGCATCGTATGCATATACATAGAATGTATATATATATATATATATATATATATA